GGGCCCTTTGGTGGGGGCTGGTGCTGGTTTTGAGGGACCTGCATCAGGAGTTCTGCAAGGAGAGTGATTTTTTTCCCTTGGTGTGTGATTTTTTTACCTCTGCAGGTGTTGCTCAGGAGGTTTCCTGTGTTCTGGGCATGCAGGGAAATAACTTTTCCAGCATGCTCAAATGTTTTAGCAGTAGTGGTGGTGTCAGAATTGTTAGGTGCTTTGGAGTTTTAGGTGGTGACAGGCTCTTTTTTGAACTCCAGGATGAACACACAGGATGTTTTCCAGCGACTTCAGCTGGTCCTGGGGATGTGCTGAGGGTTGGGCACCTTCACCTGTCAGCACAGACACTGAGCTCCAGCGTGGAGGGAAGGGACTCTCAGGGATGCAGAGGGGTTTACTGGTTGTCAGAGAACCTCAGGATGGTTCTCTGGGTTGGACTTAAAGATCATCCAGTTCCAGGCCAAGGGTGGATGGGCCTTGGAGCACCTCAGTGGAAGGTGTCTGAGGGCTGGAACTGGGTGTGATCCTTCAGGTCTGTTCCAACCCAAACCATTCTGTGATTCTGTGAAAGAGCAAAAGCTGATTTGGGAGGACAGATGCTTTTTCCCAGTCAGATTTTGGTGTTCTGAGCCGAGTTTCCCCTCGTGGCTCTGCGTTATTCTGTGGGTTTTGACTTCAGCTGCCCCCACACAGGGATTGTTGACTTCCAGAAATGTTTCTGTCGTGGTTGCCTGTGGCAGGGACTGTGGGGGAAGGCAGGTTTGGGGAGTCTGAGCTCTCCCATCTGTTCCCCACAGCTGCTGCTGCTGCAAATGCCTGATTTTTCTGCCTCTGGAGCTGTTTCTGTATCCTGAGTTCTACACCTTTTTCCCTTTCCTTGGTTCTCTCCTGTCCAGGTGACCTAGCCAGAGAAAGGACTCTAAGCTCTGTCTTCTTCATTCTTTTCTCCTTTTCTCTGTGCCAGATTGGAGCTGGACAGTTCCACCCTTTGCATGTAAGTGTGACCTGTGGTTCTCTTTGTTCACTCAAACAGGGCTGTGTCCAGGCCAGGACAAAAGCAGAGCTCTGGTCTTGGGGCTTTGGTGCCTTCTCCTTCTCTCCCTGCTCCTGACAAAGTGCCAAAATTCAGTTTTTTTCCAAAGGGCAGAGCAGTGTCCTGGGGTCTGATCTTACCTGCTGTCACCTGCCCTGCATGACCTTCACTCTCTGGTTTCACACACTCTGATTTCTGTCTTGTGAGGGGGAGAGGACAGGAGAAAACTGCTCCTCCCTGTGAAAAGGAGTAAAACAGTCCCTTATCCCCCAATAGTGGGGAAAAAAAACTCAAGGGATTTCTGCTTCCTCCCAGTGACCCTTTGAACTTCCAACACAGCAGGAGATTGGGGGACAGATAATAAGCAAAAGTTCTGGCAAGGGGCAGAACCATCCAGCAGGGCTCCTGGAGATCATTAACTTCACCTGGCTCCCTGCCAGAGCTTCCCTGGAGTTCAACCACTCCCTGCTGCTGGAGGGCCCTGACCCTGACTCAGGGTGGAATCCTGGAATCCTTGGAAAGCTGGGAGCCAGAGTGCTGGCACGTGGAGCCCACGAGGGCTGCTGGCTGCAGAGGCAGGAGGGAGGAGAGTGAGGAGCAGGAGCAGGGCCCTGGGGAGGTTTTGCCCCTGGCACCTGCCACCTCCCAGGTGTGTGTTTGCAGTCAGGGCCGGGTTCATGGGCTCTGCCCTCTCCCTTCTGGCTCCACAGGGCTGGAGTAGGGCCCTCCTGTGGCACCCAAAGTCCTCCTGGAAAGGTTCAAATCCCCCCCCATGGATCAAACTGAGCTGGGTTTGCAGCTGAGGCATAACCCTGCTGGCAGATCTGGATCTCTGGGATGAGGCTCCTCCCGTTCCCAGCGGCTTTGCTGGGATCAGACACTGCCTTTGTTCTCCCATCCTGCTCTCCCAGCAGGCCCCTGCTCCTCAGGGGGATCTCCTGGATGAAGCAGCCACCAGGCTGTGGGACTGGGAGGCACTTGGTGCAAAGCAGTGATGTGATAAATTCAGCTGGTTAATGTTTAAAACAGCAGAGCCTCTCCCCGTGGGACAAAATGTTCCCTCCCAGGCTGATACGCTGCTGGGGCTTGGTCATTGTGCCCACTGGTGATTGTGGCATGGGAAAGTCTGGAGTCAAAACAAGTTGTTTAGAGAAATGGCCTTTAACCCATCTAGAGTGGAGCTCTTGGAAGACAAGGACACCCCCAGATCCGTGGTGTCCTCTGGTCTGGTGAGAGCACAGAGGGCGAAGGGGCTTTCACAGGTGCACAGGGTGTCTGGAAAATGGAACTCACCTCCCCAGGTTGCCATTTGCAGTGTCTGTCTTGTTCCTAATGCCATGACAGGATCCTCCTTGGGGGCTTGAACTGCTCCAGGCTCAAATGTGGGAGGTAGATGTGACTTGAAGCTGGTCCATCATGTGGACACAACCCCCTGACTGCTCTTTTCTGTGCATTTTCCAACTCCCCTTCTCCTCTCCCTCCACCCAATTCCCACTGGCCACCTCTCAGGTGTCCAAGGACGACCGCAGTGACGTGGAGAGCAGCTCTGAGGAGGAGGATGTGACTTCCAACAGCACAAAAGGAGTCTTCAGCACTTCCAGCAACGGCTCCAACCGCCTCAACGGCCACGTGGCCGGCGGCCAGTGGACAGGGGAGGAGTAAGGCCCTGGGCTGGCCCTGAGCAAGCATGGACTTCTCTTTCAATTATCTAGTTGTGTTGAGCTCCACATTCCCAAGTGATCTTTAATCAAAACAAAAAAAAAACAACAACAACAACGAACCCCCTTCCCCAGACACCTCCAGCAAAACCCCGACCGGTCCGAGGGACGAAGCCGGGGCGAGAGAACAGAGCTGCAGGTTCCACCTCGAGCCACTTTTGTGCTTCAAAAGCACAAGAAAAAAAAAACAAAACACAACCCCAAGTTGTTGAACCCCGAGAGTTCCTGTTGATGTCTGCAGAGGTGTCTTTTGTTTGGTTGGTTTTTCACTGGGATCAAACTCGAGGCAAGAGCGGGTTTGGACGGGGCCGGTCCAGAAGCACTCCAGGAGCCACTTGGGAGCAGGTTCCAGGTCCAGAAGCACTCCAGGAGCCACTTTGGGAGCAGGTTCCACGTCCAAACCAGCCCTGGGGGAGGCAGAGACTCTTTTTCTCAGCCTTGAGCTTTGAACTGTGCTGCCCCAGAACTGCTGTCCTGGCTCGCCCCCGGGGTGCTGAGGAGGTCCCAGCTGCTCATCTCTGCTGTCACCAGGGACCAGGCCAGCATCTGCTGCCTCTTTTGGTGCTGCAAACCCCTCTGAAGTCTTGACCAAAGCCTTCTGTGAGGGAGGGGGGGAAGGTAGGGGGGGTGGTTTATTGCCCCTGAGACAACCAGCACAATCCAGGCCTTTTAAATTGTTTGTTTGTTTGGTGTTTTTTTTCCCTGTTGCAAATTGTGGGTTTTGAAGACTTTTTCTAGACCTGCTGGATCCAGTTGGCTGAGCTGGGATCGGAGGGAGGATCAGAACTGGTGGGGCCGGGTTTAACCCTCCAAAAAATGGGATGTTTTGGTCCTGTAACTCCCAGACAGAAGTGAATGTTGCTGCTCTGATGCTGCAGCTGTGGAGGAACCCAGGGCTGGAAGAGCAGCCACACCGTGGGCTTTTGCTTCTCTTTTTTTTATTTTTACTCAATGGTACTTGGGGGCAATGGAATGGTCAATCAGGAGCAGAATTTTGGAAACTTCTCGACTCGTTACCATTTTATACTGTTGTTTACTCTTATCTCCGATTAAAAGTTGCTTCAGAACCTTGGGGTGAGGTGTTCCACGCCGAGTTTGGAGGAAGGTGCCCCTCTGGCTGTGGCAGGGGGGCTGGAACTGGGTGATTATTTAAGGTCCCTCCCA